AGCCTGGTGCTCTCGGCAGGACGTAACGCAGGGGAGACGCCTGCGTTGCTGTTGTGGTCCGTGTGGTCTTCGTCTGGGGAAGTGAAACCCTGCAGTAGTGAGAGCCCTCGGCGCTCCCTGGGTGCCTCCCGCACAGGCTGCGGGCCTCTTGGAGGGCTGAAAACTTCTCGGGAGAGAAGACGCTCTTACCACAAAAGTATTTTAACTTCGTTAAATAGGCTGTAGGGTGTGTATTTTTAACTATGCAGAAGAGAAAGCGTGCAGCCTGTAACTTGTAGCACTTTATTGCAAAGTAGTATTTTGTAACCGTAAGCAGCCATTAAAGGTGCTGCGTTCATTCTGCATCCTGACCACTGCTGATGAAACCACTTTGTTTGTGCATTAGGACCATGTTTGATACCCCAAACAACCACGCGTTTAATCAGGTTTCCTACTTCTTGTTTACTATGTTGGATGCGGCCCGTGCGGCAGAGGATTTCAAGTAAGTATTTGGCTTGTGAGGCTGCTGCTTTGCGCGTGGTCAGTATGGTTTGTGCAGGTGCTGGGGTGGGGAAAAACAGCGTCTCTTGGGGCACGCTGTGGGAAAAGAACATGGAGTCAGGGAGTTTGTTTTGGCTTGATCACAACTCTTTAGTGTATCAGAAAACTTTCTTCAATTAAAGTTGTTTCTGATAGTATCTGTAACTTGGTGACTTCCTTAATACTTTAAAAGGTCCAAGCACTCTACAGTTAATTTCCCTGACCAAGCACTGAGTAACATTGCCAGTTATAGATTGTGCACCTAGCACCTTCAACATGGCAAGAATTCCACCTTCCTCGATGTTTTCACTTGTTACAACTGTTACCATTAAAGAAATGGCTGGAGGAAGGCTAGTAATATGGAAATTAACAGTTCTGACCCCCTTTTCGTAACTCTTCCCTTTTCCTGAGTTAAAAAGAGCTGCAAACAAATCTGCCCTTGAATAGGCAGTAATTAACTTATTATGGCAAGAAAACCTTGTAATTTAACAAAATTTTAGCTATTCTTGGTCTGGACTGTATCACCTAATTCTCTGGCTCCTCCAGGGGGCACCACTAAGAAATCTTTGCCTTAATCTTGTTATTATAACGGTTAATTAGGCAACAATATTTGAACATGTTTTGAAATTGCTTTTTTTTTTTTTTTCCCCCCCATCCTTATTAAATGGGAAGAGACTGTTCTTTTCTGCTAGGAGGAGTCGTCGCAGTTCGTGAATTTAGGAGGCAGTGTTTGGCATGGTTGAAAGATATTGCAGTGAGTACTATGAAGAGTAGAAACTGATCCTTTACTGGCTTCTGTAATCACATTATTTTTTTGAGAGAGTCTGTAGTGTTTTAAAATAAGAGTTTGAAATAAGTTTGTTTTACTAAATAACTCAATTTTACCGTGTGTCTTACTTCACGTAGTTTATCTTGGAGTTCTTTAAGGAAAAAGATGTGGAATGGTGGAATTTAGGTGTCAGGCTTAATTTGGGGTCTCAAAGCTGCTGTGACTTGCTTCAGAATAATGGTATTTGATTAAACAGAAGTGTAAAGGGTTCCTCAGCTTTGGGTGAAAGTAATTTTCTTCAATGTGAGAGATGTTTGATTAAATTGCCTGGAAAGGTGTTTATTATTGTGAAAGTGGTTTCAGATGCCTGGAAAACTTCTATGTGGGGAAAGGAGCCAAAGTTTGCCAAAACTGATTTTCAGGTATCATTGGTTATTATGTTATATTCTCATACTTCTAGAATTATATTCTAGAAATCAGGTCTTTTATGTACTGGGACACTTTTTTTAGTAGTAATGGGCACGGTGGAAGCCAACAATGAAGTATCTTTGAGTAAGATAAAAGCAGAACAAAGTACACTGATTAATTACTTTAGTAGAAAGCATGAAAGAAAACCTGAATGGTTTTTCCTAGGAGCAAGGAGGGCAGAGGTTTCTGACATATACCCAGCACTGATTTCAGCCTTTGCATCGAAATGGTCTTTCACATACAGGAACTGTGGGGGGAGCATTCAAAAAGTTTTAGTCTCTTCAGCTTCCTAGAACAGATACTGACTATGGTGGCAAAGTAGTTTAGCTTTACATGAGGTTTGATAGTAAGTAGGATGCAATGTTTTGGTAGCCATCTAAATGTTTGATGGCTGTTGTTAGGACTTCATATATCATAGATTACTTTTGTGTTTAAAACCAATTTAACTTTTCTAGAATGAAGATCAAACCATTCTTCCACAAATTACACCTTCTTTGTTTGTTTATCCTGGAGGTCCTAAAATTGTTAATGTATTCTGTCAGCTTGCAAGACATGTAGTGATTGAAGACATGAAAAGGAACTGCACAGGTAAGCTATAAAGGAACAGTAAAAATGCTTCATTTGTCATGTTTGACAGTGAATCTAGTAAATCTTTCATTAGTTCTGAATTGGCTGCTCAGTTCAAAAATCTTTCACAAGGTTCTGTTCACTTGCATAGATCTCTGACTGATAGAACAATGCAGATTGTTTTGCTTTCTGTTGCTTTATGTGTCTTGCTCCAAGGTTTATTTGTGTGTAATGCTGTACACCATTATTGACACAAGCAATGGTTTGGTCCAAAAGTATTGTACTGCTGTGCTATATTCTTTTTCACAATGTGAGGAATTGTGAAAGACCAGAACTGTCTGTTCTAGGCATCTTGTACTGTTTTGGTGGCCAAAAGAGTAGGGAAATGAGTGAGAGTGAGGAAAGGAAAATGCATCCAACAGAAGGAAGTGGCAAAAAAAGACAGTGCACTGCATACAGCATTCAGTCCAGTCATCTTGACTTGTGATTCTTTGAGATCAAACTAGGTAAAAATTAGAAAGTTGTGTATTTCCTAAAAGTGAATGTTGTAATCCAAACATTAATTTTCTTTTAGGTACTGATACATCTTTTGCTGAAGTTGTAAAGTTGACACCTCAGGATAGTTACATGGCAGATGCAAGATGTAGAGTCGCGTACAATAAACTTCTGCAGATTTTTCAAAAAGAAGATTTTGTTATTCAAGAATATGAGAAAAAAGCACAGTAAGTAACACAGTTAAGGAAATGCAGTCTTTTCATAAAAGCTGGTGTGTGTGTGTCTTAACAAGAATTTGAGGAGGCTGCATCTGCTTTACATTGCAAGTATGTTGTTGAGCTTGCCATTTTTGCCCCTTTACCTCCTTTAATTGACAGTTCTATTTGTAGGGTCTTTTGCAAAGTGTATCAGTTTGAATAAATTAGTTCTTTGGTTAGGAGATGCTGTATTTCAGAAGATGTGGTTACACAGACATAAGTGATCAGGGAATTCTGCTTGTATAGCACCATGTTCTCAATATTTGAAGGGACATTTCATCTTGAGACAGTTATACCCTAATAAATGTTTGGTCTTTGCTCAGTCACTGTGGGACACATTTTATTTTACATAATCCTTAATTATTTTGCCAAAAATATGCTATTATTTGGTCCATGTAAACTGTCATGGATGGGATAGTTTACATGACTGGAGCATGGTAATGTCCAGTTACAAGCTATTCAGTAAATGGTAGAAAAGGAGGAGTGGCACTGTAGGTAAAAGCAGTTTCAGTGCTTGTGGTATAGCTCTTTAGAAGAGGACTGGCCTGTTTCATGGCTTGGGATTAGTATTAGGGTTTAGCATCAAGGGAGACCTCACAGTAGGTGTTTGATATACACATCTCCTGTACCAGTAAAGGTATATGAAGCCTTCTTCAGACAAATCAAATGCAACTCAGATCTGCAGGCCTTGAGTCCTGTAGAGGACTTCAGCTTACCCTGGTATTTGCTGGGAAAACAGTAAAGTGGTGCATTAGCAATCTGGGAAAGTAGAGTGCATTGAGGATGACTTTGTAATGCAATCACTGGGTGTGCTGAGTAGGAGTGCTGCTCTTTTGAACTCACAAGTAAGAAACTTCTCTGGAGACATGACTGCCAACAGAAGCCTTATGGTCATGGCAGCCAAGACTGTAGAATGTAAGATCTTGGGAAACCTGAGGAAGACAAGTGGAAGAAAAATGACACAGAACTTAAAATTGCAGATTTCCACTTGCCCAGGGTGATGCTATTATATATCCTGTGGAAAGCAAAAGGGCTCAGGGGTGGTAGGGTATTTTCAGAGTTCCTTCCTGAAGCTGAAGTATGATCCAACCCCTTCAATGGAAAAAGAAGCAGGCATAACAAGAAACCAACCTATGTACAACAGCAAGCTGGTGATGGAGCTCAGAAACCAAAGCAGCAGCAAATGGAAAAGGGGACTGACTCCCAGAAGTAAATACAAATATTTCTCAGAAGTGCAGTGATGTAGTTATGAAGGCCAAAGTTCAACTAAAGCTCCCAGAGCTTGGTAAGAGCCTGAAGAAAGGTATGGTATTAGGAAGTGGAAGTACATGGAGGATTTAGATCTGTTTCTGAATGAAACGGTAAGTTAAAAATTTCACAGGCTGAAACACCTGGTGCTGGGGAAAGTGAACAAACATGGCAAACACAAGCCTTTGTCACTGATGGAGTGCATCCAAGAGTGTGGAGATATTTACCAGGCATGATTTCAGAACTGCTCTGTAATCTTTAGAAAGAGAAGGCTAGCTAAAGCTTGAACCTAAAGGGCAGTACTTCACCTGGAGTTTGGAGCCCTCAGCATAGGAAAGATATGGAGCTGTTGGAGAGGGTTCAGAGAAGGGCCACAAAGATGATCAAAGGGCTGGAGCACCTCTGCTATGAAGACAGGTTGAGAGAATTGAGGCTGTTCAGCCTGGAGAAGAGAAGATTCCAGAGAGAACTTAGAGCAGCCTTCCAGTACCTGAAGTGGCCTACAGGACAGCTGGGGAGGGCCTTCTCATCAGAGAGGGTAATGATAGGACAAGGGGTGGTGGTTTTAAAGTGAAAGAGGTTAGATTTAGGTTAGACAACAGGAAGAAGTTCTTCACCATGAGGCTAGTAAGGTGCTGGAATAGGTTACCTAGGGACGTTGTGGAAGCCCCCTAGAATTGCCCACAAAAGTGGTGGAATCTCTCTTGCTGGACCATTCATGACTTGGGTTGACAGGACCATGAATAACGTAATTGAAGACTCTGCTTTCAGGGGAAGGCTCCACAGTATAACTTCCAGAGGTCAAAGTCTCCTAAATTTCTATGATTTCTATAATTCTGCATCTACTTGTACCCTACTTGGGAAATATTAGTGTTCTTGCTTACCTTGTGAGTGGTACCCTTAAAAAATGTAATGATATGTAGTTTTTTTAATTATTAACACCTCAGAACCCCTAGGATTCCTAGTGTTTCTGAAAATCAGGCCACTATCTTTTTAGATGCTTAAAAATTTAATAAAAGCTCTGTGATTTTGGTAAAAGAACTTTGGTGGTCCAGCTGCCGTTACTCCAGTATTCTGTTCTATGTTTTTTTTAAACAGAATTATTTGGGTACTGTACAACTGCTGATTATATTTGGAGGTGTATATTGGTGAAGTACATATATTGTAACTTCATTATTGTTATTTGGTCTAATAAAAGCCATTCCATTGCATTAAAATGTGCAACAGCTTTATTGGTCAGTTTATAGATATGTTAGTGGCTTTCCTGACTCTTTCTGCACAAAGTTACAGTGAGGAAGTTAAGGGTAAGGTTCTATTTTTGCATCATGTCCAAAACAGCCTCAGTGTATGAATTTGGAAAGAATGAGCAAGATGGGTTTGTGATTGCCAAGAATTCTGAGAAGAGCAGACTAGAAACTTGGATTTTTAAAAAAAATCTGTGGTAACTGTTAACTTTTTTTCCAAGGCTTTTAATTACAGAAATAAAACAGATGAAGTCTGAATATGCAGCCCTGCAGATACAGCCTGGCAAGTAAGTGTTTTTCCTTGTAACTTAAGTTAGAATATATGAAACTGGTTTCTTTTTTCTTTATGAAATATGAACTATAATTTAATTGTAGTCCACTTGTACTTTTCTTTTGCATGTACGTATAGGATAGAGCAGAATGACCAAAAAGAAAATGACAGAATGAAGAGAATTCAAAAGGTGAGCATTTTTTTTTTTTCTACTGTAACAGCGTACTGTGTTTCTTCCTGCATTTCTGCAACACACACTCTCAGATACTGTTCTTTCCACTTGTCTACCTGTGATTATGCTGGCCCCTTTGTCTTTTTTTATGTTGCTTTGATACTCTATAGCTGGCAAATATTTTAATACAGCATTTTTGTCCTTCTTGCCTGTTAAGGTCCGCAGTATGTGGACACTTATAACGGAAGTGCTTGCATCTCTGAAAAAAGAAAAGGAAGTTGTGGATTCTGTACTTGAAGATTGTGCTGTTCAGTGCATTTTAGATGGAACTAGTGTTGTTATCTCTGTTCCAAGGATATTGGCTGACAGAATTGAAGGTGACATGCACCAAGTAAGTAATTTTTGTCCTTTGTATTAAACTGTGAGGTTTTTTTAGTCCCCAGGAGTGTCATGACATTGCTTTAAAGACAAAAAAAAAAAAGTACTTTGCAGGTGATAAAAGATTCTTGCTCAAGGATGAAGAAAATATATCTAATTTGTATGTACAATTTGTTAGGATTTAAGGTCAGGCTGGATGGGGCTTTTGAGCAACCTTTGATCTAGTTGAAGATGCCCCTGCAACTGCAGGGTTGGTTAGACAAGATGACCTTTAATGGTTCCTTCCAGCCGAAACCATTCTACAATTATGCTGCTGTTTTGTATTGGTTTATGTTTCAATCACTGACTTTTCTAATTCATGTCCCAGTTTAACTCAGATCGGCAGTTAAACCAATGACAATAATGCTCTTGATCCCTTCCCCGTCCCACCCAGGGAGGGAGAGGAGAGAAATAATAAAGGAGAGACTTTCCAGATTGGAAACTAAACTAGGCAGCTTTAATTAAATACTAACAATAAAAGAAAACGTGTACAAATATATGAAAGTATGTGCAGGAATGTGCAACATGCCTGTTGCTTCCTCCCACCCCCAGCAGCTTCTGTGGCCCTCTCCTTAGTGGTGAGCAATTCCAAAATATCCTGTAGATAGCAGCAGAGCAGAAGAGGAACTGAGTGAAGAGTTACGAGGATCAGGAATGCACAAGCCTAGGGATCAAAGGAGATGGATAGGTGGAGTCCTGGATGCCAGCCATGAACAGAAGAAGAAGAAACAGAAGGCAGAAGAGGAACTGAGTGAAGAGTTATGAGGATCAGGAATGCACAAGCCTAGGGATCAAAGGAGATGGATAGGTGGAGTCCTGGATGCCAGCCATGAACAGAAGAAGAAGAAACAGAAGGGGCTTGACTTCCATGATCCCTGAATTTATACCGAGCATTATATGTGTATGGAATATCTGTGGCCAATTTTGTTGCCTGTCTCCACTCCTCCCTATTGGAGGGTTGTACGTACAACTCTTCTGCTCCTTTAGTGCCCAAAACAGTAAATCTGACAAGCAGACCTAAGTGTCCTTGGTTTCTCAGCAGTATCTATAAACATTCCAGTGTTATAAGTTCAGTAGCTGGAAAACTTGCTGCTTAGAAGAGAGTCCACTAAAGAAAAAAATAATCAGTAAAAAGAAAATTGGCTTAATCTTGGCTCAAACCGGGACAGTTCAATAACTGCAATGGTAACTCTGCCTGATTAGTACTTGATTTTTTTGTTGTTTCGGCATAAAACTAGGGTGATCAGCTTAGCTGTTGCTTTAACTAGTGGCCTTTCGTGTCCAGTGTATAGTATGGCGATGTTTTGCCCTGCCATCTTTTGGGTCAGTGGTTTAACAGAATACCTCATTAGTTGAAGCTCCCTTGGTTCAGTTTGCTTTATAGGCTGGTTTCAAGCAGCTGATTCTAGAAAACAAGCCTGTGGCTTAAATCAAGATTGTGTTTTTTGAAAAATGAAACAGTTGGAAACTGAATCAAAATACAAAGTCAAACTTTGTATCTGTTCTGACAACAGAAGGCATAAGGTAATAGGTATTGATAGTGTTCACTGATTATTTTTTTTTCTATACTTCAAGCGTTTTACAGGAAATACATATGAAGATGAAAACCTGAATTTCGTAACAGTCATTCAGTTATTAAATGAAGCCCTGAAAACATTGAAAGATGAACGATGTGAAACTGAGTTAAATCAAGAACTTCAAGACATGGAGAACAGTCTTATACTCTGCAGTAGAGCACTACACGATTTGAAAGCAAAGAGGTAATTGCCTGAAAATTTTCTCAAATTCCTTTTTTTTTTTTTTTTTTAGTCTAAGGACCATGTTTTCCTACCTTGGAGTCTTTTCTAAAATGGTATCATTTATAGTGAGAACATGTTGGTTCAATAATTTTCCTTTTCCTTGTAGAAACTCAAATTTGTCTTGATTATCTGTATAACTTTTAACTGAGATTCTTAAGGAAATCTCAGCTTTTTGCTCTTTATTCACTAATGGTTTAGGCTTTGTTCCTGGGGACCTTGTTTGCTAGCTGATCTAATTTAAAAAAAAATTCTTTTTTTAAAACAGTTTGGGATTTTGAAACTATCTGAAAATGGCTACGGGCAAGTTTGAGAGTGTATCTCATAGTGTTTATGTATTTTAGTATAGTTCTTCAAATTCTCATGTAAGAAACACCGACAAAAGATATCAGGAAAAGGTGATTTTTTTTTTATATATAGATACATGGAAGTGTGACTTAACAGAATCCAATGTCAGTGTTCACTCTGTTGCTTATTATGTAACAGAGACACGGAGGGGAGTTTATCAAGGGGAATGATTGTCAGTAGTCTTCTATGACAGACATGATTCAGGTTAGGTAATCTTTGGCAACTTTCAGAGTGGACCTGTGTTCAAGCAGGAGGGGTCTCAGGTGTCTGCTGCAGGCAGTTTCAGGTATGGTTAGGGAGAGTCTAATAGCCCCAAATGGCTGTATGTGCGCTAGGACAGAAATGTACCCAGTTATCTGGGCTCACTTCTCCAACAGGCAAGATCAGAAAGCGCTTGTCTATTGTGCTTTCTGTCAAAACAATGTTAGGCCCACTGCACTTGTAACTGAAGCAAGAACAGTGTTGGCTAATGTTGATGTTGTGATGTGGTTCAGTGAACAGGGATCTGCACCATCGCATTCAGTGTGCAGACGCCTCTGTTCCACCACAGCTACCTAGCAGCTGCTTTTTAGGTTGTGAATTCCAGGCACAAGTGCATGAATATGTTGATACTTTTCAAATGGGGGCATAAGAGGACCACTTAATAGGCTCTGTCTTTATGCAGAATTGTTAACTCTACCAACAGACGTATATGGTCATTTTACATTTCTATGTTACAGGCTAAAAATAGAGCAAGAGCATTTGGTGTCAACTATTTCCAAAGAACAGGGAGACTGGGAAGCGAAGTGGAAAAACTGTCTTGGCGAGTGTCCTTTCAATTTAATCTTGGATCAGTGTCCAGTAAGTAGTGTTCAATTTATCTGATTCTGGGGAAGGGTAATGATAAAGGTGAGAGACAATGTATATCTAAGCTGGTGTGTTCTATTGCAACACCAGCTTTATATGTAAGGTTAGGGAACCAGGTAGCATAATGTAGCAGAAGTTACTTTTTGCAATAGTCTTTCTTAAATAAGATCTCAGAATTACGAAACAGTCATGGTCAAGGACCGCTGAGACCACTGAGTCCAACCAAAAAAAGCCCCCAAAACCAAACCAAAACAAAAAACCAAAACCCAACACAAACACAAAAGCCAACACAAAACTCCATACAAAACTCCAGAAAACCACTCCCCAAAAAACCCCAAGTGCACAACTTACAATCTCAACTACTAGAGTGTACCCTGAAGTTCCTCATCTACATGTTTCTTGAATACATCGAAGAATGGCGACTCCCACCGCCTCACTGTGCAGGCTCTTCCAATGCCTCACCACTCTTTCGGTAAAGAAATTCTTCCTAATATCCACTCTAAACCTCCCCTGCCACAACTTCAGACCATTTCCTCTGTTCCTGTCATTATTCACTTGGGAGAAGAGGCCAAGATCCACTCTCTACAACCTCTTTTTCAAGTAGTTGTAGAGGGCAGTGAGGTCTAAACATTCCTAGTTCCCTCAGCTGCTCCTCATACAGTTTGTTCTCTAGACCCTTCACCAGCTTGGTGGCTCTTCTCTGGCCATGCTCTAGCACCTCAATGTCCTTCTTGTAGTGAGGGGCCCAGAACTGGACGCAGTACTTGAGGTGCAGTCTCACCAGTGCTGAGTACAGGGGCACGACCACTTCCCTACTCCTGCTGGCCACACTATTCCTGATGTGGGCCAGGATGCTGTAGGCCTTCTTGGCCACCTGGGCACACTGCTGGCTCATGTTCAGCTGGCTGTCAACCAGCACTCCTAGGTCCCTCTCTGCTGGGCAGCTTTCCAGCCCCTCCTCCCCAAGCCTGTAACTTTGCCTGGGGTTTTTGTGACCAAAATACACCGACGCTTGGCCTTACTGAACCTCATACAATTGGCCTTGGCCCATCAATCCAGCCTGTCCAGGTTCCTCTGTAGAGCCTTCCTATCCTCAAGCAGATCAACACTTCCACCTGGTTTGGTGTCATGTGCAAACTTACTGAGAGTGCACTCAATCTGCTTATCCAGATCAGCAGTAAAGATGTTGAACAAGACTCAGCGCAAAACTGAGTCCTAAGGGCTGCCACTGGTGATCAGCCACCAACTAGATGTAACTTAATTTACCACAACTCTCTCTGCCTGGCTGTACAACCAGTTTTTTACCTAGTGAAGTGTACACTTGTCTTTACTATGATTTGCCAACTTGTCCAGGAGGATGCTGTGGAAGTTAGTGTCAAAGTCCAGGTAGACAATTACCACAGCCTTCCCCTTATCCAAAAGGCAGGTCACATGGTCATAGAAAGAGATCAGGTTGGTCAAACTTTTCATAAATCCATGCTGGCTGGCCCTGATCCCCTGGCTGCCCCGCACTTTTCATGTGAGCTCACTCAAGATGAGACTCTCCATAAGCTTTCCTGGTACTGAGGTCAGGCTCACAGGCCAGTAGTTCCCCGGATCCTCCTTCTGGTCCTTCCTGTAGGTGAGTATCACATTAACCAGTCTCCAGTCATCTGGCACGTCCCCTGTTGTTTGAGGATTGTTATTAGGTGGTGAAGAGAGGTTTAGTGTCCTTATCTTCCAGCTCAGGAGGCTGAACACCCTGGAGGCAGCTGGTCTGGCTTTTAAAAACTGAGGCAAAGAAGGCATTAAGTATCTCACCCTTTTCCTCATCCTTGGTTGCAATATCCTCCCCTGCATCCAGTAAGGGATGGAGGTCCTCCCTGGTTCTCTTACTGTTCATGAATTTATAAAAACTTTTTGTTGTCCCTTATGTCATTGGCCAAGTTGAGCTCCAGCTGGGCTTTTGCCTTCCTGATTTTTCTCTTTTTAATGACATCTATGTAAGATATATTTGGCCTAATGACAGCTGGGGACATAATTTGACATGGGGGAAGGAACCATCTTATCTAGACAATAGATTAGCGTAAGAAGCAAGAGCATTTGGTGTCAACTATTTCCAAAGAACAGGGAGACTGGGAAGCGAAGTGGAAAAACTGTCTTGGCGAGTGTCCTTTCAATTTAATCTTGGATCAGTGTCCAGTAAGTAGTGTTCAATTTATCTGATTCTGGGGAAGGGTAATGATAAAGGTGAGAGACAATGTATATCTAAGCTGGTGTGTTCTATTGCAACACCAGCTTTATATGTAAGGTTAGGGAACCAGGTAGCATAATGTAGCAGAAGTTACTTTTTGCAATAGTCTTTCTTAAATAAGATCTCAGAATTACGAAACAGTCATGGTCAAGGACCGCTGAGACCACTGAGTCCAACCAAAAAAAGCCCCCAAAACCAAACCAAAACAAAAAACCAAAACCCAACACAAACACAAAAGCCAACACAAAACTCCATACAAAACTCCAGAAAACCACTCCCCAAAAAACCCCAAGTGCACAACTTACAATCTCAACTACTAGAGTGTACCCTGAAGTTCCTCATCTACATGTTTCTTGAATACATCGAAGAATGGCGACTCCCACCGCCTCACTGTGCAGGCTCTTCCAATGCCTCACCACTCTTTCGGTAAAGAAATTCTTCCTAATATCCACTCTAAACCTCCCCTGCCACAACTTCAGACCATTTCCTCTGTTCCTGTCATTATTCACTTGGGAGAAGAGGCCAAGATCCACTCTCTACAACCTCTTTTTCAAGTAGTTGTAGAGGGCAGTGAGGTCTAAACATTCCTAGTTCCCTCAGCTGCTCCTCATACAGTTTGTTCTCTAGACCCTTCACCAGCTTGGTGGCTCTTCTCTGGCCATGCTCTAGCACCTCAATGTCCTTCTTGTAGTGAGGGGCCCAGAACTGGACGCAGTACTTGAGGTGCAGTCTCACCAGTGCTGAGTACAGGGGCACGACCACTTCCCTACTCCTGCTGGCCACACTATTCCTGATGTGGGCCAGGATGCTGTAGGCCTTCTTGGCCACCTGGGCACACTGCTGGCTCATGTTCAGCTGGCTGTCAACCAGCACTCCTAGGTCCCTCTCTGCTGGGCAGCTTTCCAGCCCCTCCTCCCCAAGCCTGTAACTTTGCCTGGGGTTTTTGTGACCAAAATACACCGACGCTTGGCCTTACTGAACCTCATACAATTGGCCTTGGCCCATCAATCCAGCCTGTCCAGGTTCCTCTGTAGAGCCTTCCTATCCTCAAGCAGATCAACACTTCCACCTGGTTTGGTGTCATGTGCAAACTTACTGAGAGTGCACTCAATCTGCTTATCCAGATCAGCAGTAAAGATGTTGAACAAGACTCAGCGCAAAACTGAGTCCTAAGGGCTGCCACTGGTGATCAGCCACCAACTAGATGTAACTTAATTTACCACAACTCTCTCTGCCTGGCTGTACAACCAGTTTTTTACCTAGTGAAGTGTACACTTGTCTTTACTATGATTTGCCAACTTGTCCAGGAGGATGCTGTGGAAGTTAGTGTCAAAGTCCAGGTAGACAATTACCACAGCCTTCCCCTTATCCAAAAGGCAGGTCACATGGTCATAGAAAGAGATCAGGTTGGTCAAACTTTTCATAAATCCATGCTGGCTGGCCCTGATCCCCTGGCTGCCCCGCACTTTTCATGTGAGCTCACTCAAGATGAGACTCTCCATAAGCTTTCCTGGTACTGAGGTCAGGCTCACAGGCCAGTAGTTCCCCGGATCCTCCTTCTGGTCCTTCCTGTAGGTGAGTATCACATTAACCAGTCTCCAGTCATCTGGCACGTCCCCTGTTGTTTGAGGATTGTTATTAGGTGGTGAAGAGAGGTTTAGTGTCCTTATCTTCCAGCTCAGGAGGCTGAACACCCTGGAGGCAGCTGGTCTGGCTTTTAAAAACTGAGGCAAAGAAGGCATTAAGTATCTCACCCTTTTCCTCATCCTTGGTTGCAATATCCTCCCCTGCATCCAGTAAGGGATGGAGGTCCTCCCTGGTTCTCTTACTGTTCATGAATTTATAAAAACTTTTTGTTGTCCCTTATGTCATTGGCCAAGTTGAGCTCCAGCTGGGCTTTTGCCTTCCTGATTTTTCTCTTTTTAATGACATCTATGTAAGATATATTTGGCCTAATGACAGCTGGGGACATAATTTGACATGGGGGAAGGAACCATCTTATCTAGACAATAGATTAGCGTAAGAGCGAGGTGATTTGTTTTGGTTTTTCTGTGTCCATCCCCCTGTAGCAACTGAGCTTTTGTGTGGTAGCAGTCTGAACATCTGCTGCATTCTGGTTTTCTCTTTTAATCTGTTTGATGAATGAATAATAATTCCCAGAATCTAAAATTATACCCTTGCCTTGCTACCCAGGAGAGAGATGAAGTTTTGTGTTGAGACTGACAGCTGGTTTGCAGAAAAGCTGTTGTGAATTACTTGCTAATGATATGGAGATTTTTTCAGCCTGCTTGTGTGACTTTCCTTTTTCTTGAAAGGCTCTTAAATTAATGGCTTTGCAACCCCAGTCTTCTGATGTTGAAGAAGATGATGATGATGAGGATGTCTTTTCTCAGCTTCTAGTATCACTTCCAGGTGGGTGAACAAGGAGGAGTTGTTGGGTTTTTTTTTGCCTTTTGCCTCCTGCCACAATTATTAAAAGTTACTTGGAGTCAAAAAGATTTCCTGCTTGCTTTTGTGAATTATTCTTGATAACCTCTGATAATCTGATTCTGAATGAGTCCTTGTAACAATTGACTTAACATTTTTAACCCTGTCTCACCTTAAAGATTTAATGAAACTTCTAATATGGAAAAAAACATGCTGGAGCTGTTTGGTATTTTGTTGTCCTTGCACAAATGGTTTTGAGACAAATTTCCATGTACAAAAGTTCATTCATGGATTCTAGAAAATACATTCACTCTAACAGTGAAATTGCTTCAAGTTGGAGCAGTAATAAGAAAGAGAAGATAAAATTTTTACCACTGTCCAGGTGGGAAAAGCAATTGAAGGTCCTCCCAGGTAAGCGTCTTTCCCTGGTGCATCCTGAAATCCTTATTCCACATTATCTGTGCAATTTGATCAGGACCTTACTTGTTGTCTGTGTTGGTTGTTTTCAGTTGGTAGGTTAACTGTATTGTTCAGAACTCATTTTTATCAGACATAGATGTTGCGCATACTAATCAGGTGATGAGCTGATGTTATTTTATGGGGTAGAGCTTATTGACCAAGTGTTTACTGTCCCTTCTATAGTTAGAGAGTACAGAAGCTGCAAAGCAGGGATGGGAAAGGAGGGGGAAGACAGCTTGAATCATACCTCATTTGTAGTTCCTTTTAGGAAAAATTATGTAGCAAATGTGTGTTGAATTTCAAGGTGCAAAGCAATAAGGAGAAGTTCCTTTAGATTACAAAGATGCAAGCATTGCTCCAGCAGTCTGTGAGGGTATGTAGGTATAAAGCTAGAAGCTGCAAAAGGAGAGAGAAGCTATAGAATTTCAAATGGAAGGTAATTTGCCTTAATTTCAAAGATTAAAGCACTGTGCAATAGTGCTGTGAGCTTCTGGTAACATCAGAAAGCTTGAGACAAACAGGGAAATCCCAAGCATAAATAGAGGTTGAGTGGAGAATGGTTTGAAAAGAATCCTTGGACTTGGAGGGGGCTGGTTGATGAGAAGCTCAACATGAGCTGGCAATGTACACTTGCAGCCCAAAAAGCCAGCTGTATCCTGGGTATCAAAAGTGTGACTGGCAGGTCAAAGCATGTGATTCTCCCCTTCAACTCAGCTCTCATGAGACCCCACTTGGAATACTATGTCTAGCTCTGAGGCCCTTGACATATGAAACACATGGAGCTGTTGGAGTGAATCCAGTGGAGGACCACAGAGAGGATCAGAAAGCTGGTACACCTCTCTTATGAAGACAGGCTGAGAGAGTTGGGTTTGTTCACCCTGAAGAAGAAAAGGCTTCAGGGAGACGTTACAGCAGCGTTGCAGTACCTGAAGAGGCTACAGGAAAGCTGGGGAGGGACTTTTTACAAGGACATGGAGTGATAGCATGAGGCAGAACTGTTTCAAGTGAAAAAGAGAGTAGAGTTAGTTTGGCTATTGGGAAGAAATTGTTGATTGTGAGAGTGGTACAACACTGGCACAGATTTCCCTGAGAAGCTGTGGCTGTCCCCTCCCTGGAAGTGTTCAGGGCCAGACTGGATGGGGCTCTGAGCAGTCTGTTCAAGCCAGCTGTATCCTGGGTATCAAAAGTGTGACTGGCAGGTCAAAGCATGTGATTCTCCCCTTCAACTCAGCTCTCATGAGACCCCACTTGGAATACTATGTCTAGCTCTGAGGCCCTTGACATATGAAACACATGGAGCTGTTGGAGTGAATCCAGTGGAGGACCACAGAGAGGATCAGAAAGCTGGTACACCTCTCTTATGAAGACAGGCTGAGAGAGTTGGGTTTGTTCACCCTGAAGAAGAAAAGGCTTCAGGGAGACGTTACAGCAGCGTTGCAGTACCTGAAGAGGCTACAGGAAAGCTGGGGAGGGACTTTTTACAAGGACATGGAGTGATAGCATGAGGCAGAACTGTTTCAAGTGAAAAAGAGAGTAGAGTTAGTTTGGCTATTGGGAAGAAATTGTTGATTGTGAGAGTGGTACAACACTGGCACAGATTTCCCTGAGAAGCTGTGGCTGTCCCCTCCCTGGAAGTGTTCAGGGCCAGACTGGATGGGGCTCTGAGCAGTCTGTTCTAGTGGGAGCTGTCCCTGCCCATGCAGGGGACTTGTAACTAGAAGATTTTAAGGTCTCTTCCAACCCAAACCATTATTTGAAGCTGTGGTCTGTGGCGTTCTCTAGACTGGTTAAAATGTTTGATCTAAAAATAGAACCGCTACAAAAACTATTTTTCTACTTGTTAACATGGTAGCCTCTCCTGATTTCTTAAAGTGAGCTTGCATCTTGGAAGTGATGTTGAGGTGAATACAAAAGGAAATGCCACTCACGTTTGTACAGATGGAAATCAGAGTTAGTAGAGAACTGCTGAGGTTAAACCTTGGCTTTTTATCCAAATAATGTGCCAAAATTGATACTTACTGTTTTAAAGAGCCCTGAGATAAGGTATGTGTACCTCTGATAATGTACAAAACATTTCCTTAGTGTGCCTTGCCTTTCTTGGTCTGAGGCAGCATTATTCAGAGGGATGAGTATGTCTGTAGAGATACTGATTGATAAATGCAAATGAAGATGGTGGGGAAAACATGGAAGGAACTTTACTTTGTGGAATTGGTGTGCCACAAAATTGATCCCTATGTGGAGAGGAGAGGATAATGATATGTCTGAGATTGTAGTCTGGGGAAATGTGGAATGTATGATTGGTACATGCCGGGCAGCAGATAGAGCCATGCCTCTTGAACATGTGTTCACAAACAAAACAAATAGGCTGCAGGTGGTACCTGAGCAAAAGGATAGATTTCACTGCTTATATATTATTTTTCTTGAAATGGTCATTAAGTCCCTCCAGTAAATAATCTACAGAGGTGGTTTGAGTCACTATGTCACCTGGAGGTCTGAGAGAAAAAAAAAGGAAACAGTAATATAACTCGTGATTTGCTTTTCCAGATGTTTGTGATGCTGAAGTACATGATGAGAAAGATGATGGCCCATTTGAAACTGTGATGGATGTGGCAATGCCATCACCAAGCTGGTATGATGTTATTTAGAAGCCGATAAGCAGTTGAAAAAGCAGAAATCCTCTTATTAGAGTTAAATATATTGTGTCTCTTGATACGTAGTGGAATATTTCAGTAGCCCACTCCTTACACATCACATCCACCTGATGTAGTTGTAATTGTTGCTTTCTCCAGCTAGTGACTGATTATTGACTGGTTGCTGCTAAATAGGATGTGCAGCAGCTAAGTTGCAAGGCTTTTAAATCACTTTTTAACTATATTCTTTCAGGTTTTAATAGGCAGGTGGAGAATACAGGTATCTGTTTCTCAGGCTGGGCTGAAATAGGTGTGTATGTTCAGTGTAGCCTGTGAACAAAAGAACAGGCATTCACAGGAGCCTGCCTTTTGTGTTTAAAAGAAACCAACTTAAACCAAACAAAAAAAAAACTTGGTTCCCAAGCAGAATTACTGTGCTAAAACCTCTGAAGAAGACTTTTCTCACTAATCTTCTAAAATCGCTTTGTTCTGTAACTTTTACTACAGTTACAGTGAAAGATGGAACACAAAATGATGGTATTCTAAAAAGTTTGTGCATGTTTATCATTTACTTCAGGAAGGTTTCATGACCTTATGAATAATGTTATATATCATAAAATGACTCTTACTGATGCTTGAAAGTTGTCTACTACAAGAGAAAGGGAGTTAATAAAGGAAGGCTGTCCTCAACTTAGACATCAGTAGAATTTGTTACATCTTAGGTCTCAAAGTATTTAACAATTAAAGCTTGAATTTCTCTCAGTGACTTTCTATAGCATGAATTTTTGTCTGCATCTGATCTAAACATACGTAACAAAAATATGGACATTTTAAGAGGAGTTCTTCCTAAAAAGTGTGGACTGTACCTTACATTCTAGAGACCTATACAATTAGCAGTGCTTTCATCAGAAGTGGTAAGACTTGAGTTTTTAGTAGCCAGAGGATTGTAAAATACAGAGTTCATATAGGAACAGACCTATGGATGCCAGAGATGATTCAAGGAAGAATATCTAGGGAAGAGAGCGTTGTCAAGTCTGCAGAAGACTTTCCAGTTATTTTTGACTGCAGAATGTGAAAAAACTTTTTGACAAAATGTATCACAAAATCTCTTCCTTTTCTGATTGTTAATCAGTGGAAGAGTTTTATAATTTATTAATCTTGGGAGGCTGATACACAACTAGGGCTAAAGCTGCTCTAATTGTCACATGTTCTCCCTATAGTAAAACTGCCTTCTGATGACCGGGACGAATTGAGGGAAATCGTAACGGACAGATACGGGGCACACAATATGTTGTGGCCTTCTGTTAAGACATGCAAGCCACTTGTTTGTTTGTCTCTAAAAGACTTCCCTCCCCCTTACTCTCTTCCACACCTCCCCTTACCCCCAAGGATCTCTTCAGTGCCTTTGAAGTTGTCAGAAGTATCAGAAAACAGAGATGTGTCGACTGAAAAGGTAATTCAATAATTTCCTGCCTGTCAAAGAAGTTAAACTTATATTTGCTTTTTACATTGATTGAACCTCCTTAGTATTTGGTGGGGAGGCTTTCAATTTTATGTTTCTATTGCTTTTTTAAAAAGTAGTATTTTTACACATCTGAGTCCTGTAAAACAAAAAGCTGAACTGTCAGAGACTTTATTAAACTTCAGGAAAGCACAGTAGGAAGTAAATTCACTTGCACCTGCCTTCCAGCACAACATTCAATGTGTTGCTGAATTTCCCATTTCTTGAAGTATGAGCAGGGGTTGCACTTTGATGCTTCTTTAAGTTGTGTGTGAATTTAAGGCTTATGTCAGCTAAAAGCAATTTGGATGTACATTTTTCCAGTGTACAGTTGTTCACTGTAGTGTGTTCAAAGTAGTTGCAGATGACTTGTGTTCCCCTCAGTTCAGGAAGGACAGGGAACTGCTTGAAAGAGTCCAGCGCAGAGCTACTAAGATGAGTAAGGGAGTGGAACATCTCCCTTATGAGAAAAGGCTGAGAGAGCTGGGTCTCTTTAGCTTGGAGAAAAGGAGACTGAGGGGTGACCTCATCAATGTTTACAAGTATGTAAGGGGTGAGTGTCAGGGAGATGGAGTTAGGCTTTTCTCAGTGACGACCAGTGATAGGACAAGGAGTAATGGGTGCAAATTGGAGCACAGAAGGTTCAAGGTGAATATCTGAAAAGTTTTTTAACTGTGAGAGTGACAGAGCACTGGAACAGACTGCCCAGGGAGGTTGTGGAGTCTCCTTCACTGGAGACATTCAAAACCCACCTGGATGTGTTCCTGTGTGATGTGCTCTAGGTGACCCTGCTCTGGCAGGGGGGTTGGACTAGATGATCTTTCGAGGTCCCTTCCAACCCCTAAGATTCTATGATTTTATGCAACACCTTGTCCTAGCCACTACCATGTCCTGCTTTAAATACAACTGTAAAAATAATTTGTTTAGTTAGACTTTAAGACTTAAGTATTTTCATTGACTAAACACAATTTTTACAGCAGTTTCTTTGTGATAATTTTCTGAAATGAGTTCTAATAATTCCTGTGTATTCCTCTAGAACTTACATACTAAAACTAGTGAAAGGGAAAAAAAGCCTGTGCCTCCAAAGCTCTTAGAAAATGGAAGGGATGAGTCTGCCAGTTCAGAAACGCGGGACAATGCAGGTGATCACATAATCCAGACAGAGTCTGCTGACAAAGAAGACTTTCTTAGGAAAAGCAAAGACGATTTGGCAGAACAGGTTGGAAGAAGTTTTTTTTATTATTTTTTCTTTGTTTATTTTAAAATAAATACTCATTAATTTCAGAGAACAAATTACAGTTTCTATCACAAAATGCCTTTTGTAATCTGCATACATCAAAAGTTACTTTTTACTGTCACATAGTAACCAGTGTCACTAAGTTTTGGGGATAACTGCCCATATAAGTACACCATGAAAGCATGGAGCTTGTGCAGTTATCATACTTAGAAATCATAGTTAAGTGATTAGTAGTTTAAATAGAATCACAGTAAATTTTTTATCTCCTCTTATACTTCAATCTGTGAACCACTGTATATATTAAGAATTCAACAGTCCTTTTTGTTTCTGAACTTAAGCAGGTTAAATATTTAACAGGGTTTTGGGAATTTTAAGCAGGAATTGAAGTATTTCTTCTTTTAGGTGTTTAAGATATAACTGAGGAATTCCTTCCAATAGTTACTGTAAATTGTGCCACAGTGTGATTTGGAAAGTAAATTGCATCTTCAGCTGAATTGGCACTGTTATTTTTCATTTGCTGAAATGTTCTGTTTATGTAAATACTACTCTAGTTGTCATTCTTAGGCAGTTCTTGCCTAGTGTCTTTCATATATTCTGAACATACTTTATTATTTTAATAATTGCAGCATAGATGAGGAAGGAACTCCGAATTTAGTTCTGATTTCAGTCCCCTATCTTCATTTTATATTTATAGGGCACTATTGTCATTGTAAGCGTAATCAGTAAATAGCAGAAGAGTCAAGACTGCAGACTCTTCAGATAATTTGGAAAGTGTGATTTATTTTGAGCTTCAACTGTCAGAAAGAGGTTATTATTTTACTTCCACATTATTTGCCCTTCTCTAACATCCTACAGGTTGTAAAAGCAGTGATGTCTGATTCACCTGAGAGTTCTGAAGAGAAAGGAATGGCATTAGAAGATCTCATTAGCTCACTGGCTTTTAACCCATTTTTAACAAGGAAACAAATTCCCCGAACTCCAGAAAATCTACGTAAGTCTAAAGCTCTATTTTTCTAGTACTCATTGATTAGAAATATTAGTTCACTGATACTGTACACATACCACAAGAAGAAAAAGATAATTATGTCAGTGAAGCAGCAGCTTATCCTAATGGCTTGCTCTCTGATGCAGCCAGTAGGCCAGTAAGATATGACTACTGTGAGATTAAGAGTTTGTTTTTTTTCCTGTGTAGAATCTCCTCTATGTTGAGGAAGAAAACTTAAGTGTAAACAACATAAAGCAGCCATATAAAGCTTCCTTCTTGGATTGCTTATATTACTGAAGGGGCAGAAGAAAACCAGCATGATTGAAAGTACTGACATTTTACCTTGTTTTGTTCCATTTAGTTACTGAAATTAGAAGCTCATGGAGAAAAGCTATTCAATCTGAGGGCTCATCAGAGACAGAGCTGTCCCAAACTGAAGTAACGGTAGAAGCAGCTCCAATAGATGTTACATCTACAGTGCAGAATGCGGCAGACTCAGCACTTGTGTGCTCTATCCCTGCATCACCTCTACCTGACTTTGATCTTCCCTTGTCAGAAAGGAAGTCCCAATTAAGTTCTACAGAATTTAGACCTCAAGAGCAGATGAAGATAAATCACATCATTGAATCTCCAGTTTCAGAAACATCTGGAATGCTGAAGAGTGAGGGAACTGAAGAGCAGGAACTGGAATGTACTATTTGGAGCAAAAGTTGTGTAGAAGATACAAAAGAACTGAAGAGCATGAATACTCCAAATATTTGTTCAGAAGACAATAGGGGAACAGGTGTTTTGCCCTCAGACAGCTTTGAAGGTTCTGTAGTGGATGGGATGCTGCACTGGGATGTCCCTTCATTATTAAATTTTGTCTGTTGTGAATCTAACCACTTGGGGATATGGAATGAGACACTTCCAGAAGAATTTAACACAGATTCTAACATATCTGCAAGCTCAGAAGATAGCTTTTGTGTAACAGACAGTGTGTTTGTAACAGGTAGTTCAAAAAATAAGGGAGATACTGAAAAATCAAAGCTAGATCCACAGTCCCCATTCAACACACATAAATCACTTGAAAGGACTGCATGTAGAAGTGAAGATGAGCTGCATCAAACACATAATAGAGGTGAATCTGTAGCCTGTAGATCAGCTTTAAGTCATACACCAGAAGGAAAAGATGAATTTTACAGTCCTCTAAAACTCTTCTGCTTAGATGAAAAATTTACCAGGACACCATCACCAGTAGCTTTTAATGAAATAAAATATTCCCTGTCATCTTTGTTGGTATCCTGTCAACATCTGGGGGAAATGGCATCAAGGATACACGAAGTCCCATTCGACTTAATACCTAAATCAGAGGGTAAGTGTCCATGTACTTCAGCAACTTCAGATTTTGTCCATTCTGCCACTGGCTATACTACCATGAATAACCTAGCTTGAATAGCTGAACCATGCTGTAGGGGGATGGGTTATTTGTATCTTTATTCCTTCTGGATGATCAGATACAAAAAACATGGAAATGTGCTTCCTGTAGTTATGTCAACATCTTGCAAATAGGAGGAAAGGTGCTTATGTGACTTTCTGAGGTAATAGGAAGCTGTTAGAAAAGACTTAAGGTTTAATAGCAATGAAGCAATCTGAAGTTAAATTTTAAGAATTTACCAAGTTAGTTTGAAATAGTGTTTACTCTGGACAAATTTGGTTATTTAGAAATGTCTTGTGGGTAGTTGGAACTTCTGTGAGGTCAGTCAGATGTTCAGTCTGTAATACTTTAATAATAAAAAGTATGTTAATAAATATCCTGCATTCCAGCCTGCCTGTCCCCTCACCCCATTTTCAACAGAAATGTCACCTTTGTTTAACCAGTAGGATAGTATTTAGTTACATGTGAGGTCAGTTTTTTAAATGTATTAGTAAAAATGGGCCAGTAATAGTTATACAGAAGGACTTTCACCAAAACAGGTGGTATGTAATGGAGTACTAGGAGCTTAACACAACAAACTAATCTCAAAGAGTAGTGAGACTTACCCTTTGCGCAAAGTCTTGCTGCAATTTAGCTTTTGCTTGTAATTGTGTCTGAACTGATAGATGATTTTACCTAACTTGGAGCAGTTATCAAAATCAGAAGTATGATTTCATATATGCTTTTCTTAATATACATCAGATGCTTTTGGAGCAGTATTTCTGTCAATAAGTGCTAACTTAGACACTTTTTCTTCCAGATGAAGAGCAGTTGAATAAGAAGCCAGACACAAAGGAGCCATCATCAGGATAGAATTTGTAAAGCAGAAGCATAACAATAAGAGCACAGATATGGTTCACTTGAGCATGTGACATCTTCTTCATGCCCTGCCCCTCAGAAGAAAGAACCATCCCAAATTTTACTTGGTGCTCCATGTTTATTGGATTCTTTGCGCATGTGGTTGATACTGCCACGTTCTATATTACCTTTTCATAGAGACTGATTTCTTTTTCAGCAACTTCCACAGAAGTTCTAATAACTTATGACTTGTAGTGTTAGTGCCTCCTTAGTTTAAAATATTGTATAGACATTTATGACATGGGTATATAAGTAACTGATAATACACCTTGTGGTGGGATGGGAATGTAAAAGTTGAGGTTCCTGCAGATAAAGTTCTTACTGTAAAAATACTGGTCCCTAGCCTGATGTGTTTACAGAGTTTTGAAGCATTGTGAAGTTGAGTTTTTCTGTTCTGGTATACCTTTCTCCTCCTTTCTTCAAAATTAGTTGCAAATACGTTTTAAGAAGAATCTCCATCTGTATTTGTTGACATCTTCCTTATAAAGGAGAATTTGACAAGCTTTATGAAGAGATGTATGTGGCTGACTGCAGAAGCTATAATGAGGCTGCTAACGTTAACGGCTAAGATTGAATTGTGTCTTAATAGAGCCTTTACATGTTGATCTAATCATGGTCAAACAGCTAGATAATTGGAACCTGTTGGCCATCTTCAACAGGCTCAGCTGTGTTCCTTGCAGACCTGGGCTCTAGAGCTTGGAGCTGGTGACTTCACAAAGGTTCCCCAGGCAACTGTCAAGGCTTTCATGCCCTGGTCAAAAGATACCTGAAAGCCAGACCATACAGCCCTGATTGGGATGCCACTAGATGAACCTGGGCATACTGCCCCAGGGAAGGAGCTGGTCAGCTAGGATGTAGAGTGGTCTGTGCTCTGTCCCTGCTTCTGGAGGTTCCTAGATATTCTGATGTGATTCTCTCCAGCAACACTTACTGAAGAGTGGTGGCTTTTTTTTTGTTGTGGTTTTTTGTTTGTTGTTTTTTTGTTTGGTTGTGGTTTTTTTTGTATTAAGTCTTTTTAAATTGTGCTGGAGAGCATATGCCGGAAAAGTCTTGATCCATAATTGTTTTTCTTAGCAAACATGTCTACTGCATCACCTGAGCATTTGCAGACAGTTCCATCCTTGAAGAAGTGTGTTTGTCAGCTCTGCTCCTGTGGGTATGTAGAAGTGGCTGGGGGAAGGAGCTTGGAGTAGTGGTAACTTGACTAGGAGGCTGTGCTGTTCTTTAGGGCTGCACTGTTACTCACAGCTAGGCTGCACATGAAAAATTGTAAATGGAAGTATCTTAGAGTACTTAAGGCTTTAAAACAGGAAGTGTTTTCCCCCCATTCTGCTTGCTAAATCACATGGTTCTTTTTTTTATTATAGAAGTAAAACAAATGGCAGGGAGGCTTCCTGTTTTTCTTATGTAGGTGGATTGCATCTCTGAGAGGAGAGCTTGCCACTGTTTGGCCTGAAACTTGCTTTTGAATGGGTGTTACTGTCTTTAGGTCTGTATTTTAATTTAATAAAGTGATACTTCCTCTGGGAGTGTGCTTAATGCTGGAAAATGTACAGAGGTAGAGCCTTAGAAATTGAAGAGACAACAGAAAATACCAGGATTCGTTAGAAGTTTTATTAGTCTTGTGAATGTTAGCAAACTTTTCTTAAAATAAGTTAACTTAGGCCCATAGGCATAGTGTCCTTTCTCCCATATTTGCAGGTTAAGAATAAAATAATTATTGAGGAAAAAAATATTTCTGACACATTTAGGTTACATGACTTTGTTTTGAAGCTACTAAATAGTTATGAAGAGTTTAAAAGTACAAAATTCGCACCCAGAGTCTGTATCAAGCTGGTGTGCATTGTTGTTATTCATCGTGAGTAATAAGCACATGTACTCCACAAAGAAAAATAGGAATGTTGGTTCCAAGCAGATTACAAACTGTATTTTTAGTATTTCTATAAAACTCTTTGTAAGGTACAAGAATACCTGCTTCTTCCATTCTTTATTCTGTGTATCAGTACTTTTTTTTAAAAAATAGTATTTATATTTGACTATGCAAAATACTTTGTAAAGAGAAGTAATAGTGATTTGATTCTTGTCTTGGAGGACTGTGCTATCAAGAACCTAAATATGTAGCACAGTCATCTGGATTTACAAGGACCTTTTGGTTCTAACCAAGTAATGTACTGAAGAATAGGTCTGTCACTGAGACTAGCAGTAATCTTTCATATACTAGGTGAGCTAGTAGGGTAGGTCAATTGAGGATGTGGATAGTACCTCCTTGATCATGGCCTGTCTTAAAAAAAAATTAAACTGAATTTTGGGTTGCTGCTACAGTGACTGTTCTGGATTAAGAAGTGAGAGCTAAGAATTTTAAGTTTACAGTGAAGACCTGTCCTCAGAGTCCAAGTGATATATAGATGTGTATATCAAAGCAGAAATTATATACCTGTGCACCTTGGGGATCTTTAGTGCTTGCAGGTAAGTGCATTACTATGGTTTTTGTTGGGTTTGCAGCAGATACTTAAGAAATTTTGGTTCACCTTATATTAGAAGGCTGCCATAATTATGCTGAACTTTAGAATAAAATCCTTTTGTAAAGTAATGATTTGCTGATTAGGGAAAGGAGTTGGGAGAACAGCAGGGACACGTACAACTTTGTATATATTTTTTACTTTGAAACTAGGTATTCACTGAAGAGGAATATATTATTCATAATGCATAGTGTTAAGTGTGTAAGATACAGATCCTGAAATACCATTCAGAATTACCTGCCCATTAAGCTTGGGGAATTAATTTTCTCATTAATTTCCTATTAAAAAGATAACTTGACTCTCATTTAACTTCACAAGAATAAGGAATTTGGGCTCCTGAAGTTAGGTGTGCCGGATTATCATCTGAAGTACACTGTACAAATACTTGACTTTCCAGAGGAGAATATGCCATAATTCAGTGCAGCAGTGCAGAATAGTCAGTATTTCACAGCTTATATTGGCCCATCCTTACCAAATGAGTTCCAAAAGGACAGGTTTATGAACTTCTTCTTGCTCTCTCTTTTTTTTTTTTTTTTTAACTTTGGAAGGTAATACCAGTGTTTGCTTCTTACCAAAGCATATGTACATTGCTCATAAAGGTATGATGAAGTGTCTGGAATATCTTTCCTCTCAAGTATAAGAAGGACATGGAAGTCCTGGAGAAAGACCAGATGAAGGTGATCAGAGGGTGGAAAAGGAGAGATTTAGGTTAGATATTAGGAGCAAATTCTTTAGTGTGAGGGAGGTGAGATGCTGGAATAGGTTGTTCAGGTAGATTGTGTCTGCCCCCTCCCTGGGGGAGGTTCAAGGCCAGACTGAATGGGGCTATGAGCAACCTGATCTAGTGGGAGGTGGTCTTGCCCATGCAGAGGGGTTGGATTTAGATGACCTTTAAGGTCCCTTCCAACTCAAACCATTCCTTTGTTCTCTGATCCTGCAATATCCAGTGGTACAATCTTTGGCAGTAAGCATATACAATAATGTATAATTATTATAAAACAAAGGTTGCTGTAATTTTTGCAGGATAACTTTGCAGTCTGTCATGTATATGTTCTGTCTGTACTTGAACATTCATCATTCTATTTTTATTGAGAGGTAAAGCTAAAAAAATGTAATTGACTGGCATTAGTTCACTGAGCATTGAAAAAATACAAATACAGTTCATCCAGTGGATTTCTGCAAGTAGTCAGAAAAAGTCTCTATTACAAGACATAATACATGCAAGCAAGTCTCCTCTCCTATGTGACTCCTGCTTTTAGAATGGTTCATTGTGGCCAGTGGTAGCAGCACTAGCTGAGAGATGAAATTTCTTTGTGTTACAAATGGCTGCGAATAGAGTTTGTATGTTAATTCTGCATAGAGGCAGAAAGATACAATTTTTACAAATCATTCATGTGTTCTGTACTTTCTGTGATGGTGTGGATTGAGAATTTTTTTTTAAATCAGCTGGGAGAGGCAGAAGAAGTAGAGGCTGTGAAATAAATATTTTCTAAAATTAAGATGACATCCTCTGTCACAGCTTTGAGATGTTAAGAAAAGACTCTCTTGACCTAGCTATTACAGTTAATATAGTACAAGCAACAGTGACCAGGCCTCTGGCGTATGGGTCCCATATGAAGGCTATAAATATTCTAGTGACTGATTATATGATGGTCAGTGCTTGGTACTTCTCACTATGTATGTTTACCACAAAACTGCTAAATGTAAGTGACATTTATGGGTGTGTGAAAATATAGAAATACATTCATCATTCCTTATGGGGCACATTGACACCCAAGTTTCTTTCAATCGTGGATGCTATGTGTATGTGAGTTGATCAATGGAGGCATGAGGGTAAGAATTCCAGGGTATTGGGGCAGCAATGCAAACTGGCTTTTTGTAGCAGCAGGTGCACTGTGAGAAGGTGCTTGAGATAAGTGGTGAGTTACGGTGAGTTCATAGCCATATTTTCTTATTTCCCTTCCCACAATTTGTGTGGATCTACTGACTAAAGTTTCATATTAAGAATGTATGAGGACAGGAGCAGCTGCAGGTAAGGATTACTGCTTTTCTGGTTCTTGCATTTTATGCAAACCCCATTTATGCTTAAGGAAGTTGACACTGAACCTTGAGTAATTTCATAAGCACACAGCTGAGGTGCCTGTAATGCCTTGCACAGTGGATGAGCCATCCTCTACCATGTCATGGGGACAGTTGAATAGAAGGAAGCAGATTTTTGTGGTGTATTACAAGGTACATTTAAGTGATATGCTTTACCTAGTAATTCGTAGCTTTTCATTGTTTTGGACATAGAAGAGTGTATATTAATCTTCAGTGTAACTACAGAAGTTTCTCAGTGCTAAACTGGTAAATTATTTAAGATACTTGGTATCTAGCCATGAAACTGGTTTTTTGTTGTGTTGTTTTTTTTTAAGCAGAGATTGAGGAAAAATAGCA